ACAAACTTGCATATGATATTGAAATATCAAATATAATACTGGAATTTTGGACATGAAATAAAACATTGCCCATGAAACTGAAATATAACACATTGAACTGAATATTGCAAATGACATTGATATTATTGTTTAGATTTAAGTGCTCAGTGTTTCAGCTGCCCTTTCTGCGCAAAGGAGAGGAGTTTTACAATTTGAATATACAGTAACATGTTACCAAAGTCGTACAGCACCAGCAGAAACACTTCTACATGCTGGTTTAGGTTCAAGTTTGGAGGATGTTTTTAAAAAAGTACATTCATGATGATGATGAAACAGCGCCACCAGCCTATTGACTTCTTGATGTGGCTAAAAGTGGTACTGCATGATGTTTCATCTTTCCCCTCGTGTTCTTGTCATTCATGGAACCACTCTGACTGTGACAATGATTGAATGTCCTACCAGTGCTAGTTCATTTTTATTTTATTTTCATTAGTTTATTCTAATTATTGAATGGGCTGTAAAGAGGCAGTAAACGACTTTCACAGGGCGCCTTCAGATCAGCAGTCTGCAGGAGTCAGGAAATAATAAACTTAGTGTAAAGTCTGGAAGGAGGCTAGTCTGGCTGTGCTCAGAATTCTAAACTGTACCTGTTATTGACCTCCAGAGCTCACTGGCTACTTCTTGATTGTTTAATTCAGACAAGAAGTGCGGCCTATTTCTGGAACTATTTCCTGACTAACAACACCTTTTTGGGGGTCCTCCACTGCAACATGCTCTTTTCACACCTAAACACCACAAACTGTATGGAACCACACCCAGATGTGCTCTGAGACTCAGCACACTTTTTTCCTTTCAACACCTTCAGCACTTGGCAGCACGTTTTGCCCTTTTGTTCAGAGTCTAACACAGGGTAGAGTTACTTTTAAAAAAAAAAAACACCTACTTTTTAAGTGGACTAATACGTTTGTGATTTTGTGGTTTGATAAACTTTGTGCATGTAGACTTTGCAGCCTTGACATTAGAACCACTGACAGATGAAGTGAATGACATTGATCAATTCGTCACAATGCCTTCTTTTGCTGGGAAGCCTTTGATCCTGGCATTCATGTGGATATTACCTTGATACACACCACCCACTTAACACTGTCGCAACACCTTTCCAGACAACAGCCTCCTCCAGCAGTGATGGCCTTCTTCAGTAGGACAATGCATCCTGCCACACCTCGAAACTGATCAGGAACATCTTGAGGAGCATGACCAAGAAGAAGGGTTTCACCAGGACTGCTCCCAGATCCTGATCTAGCTGTTTGAAGAAGCCTGATCCATGGATGCCCACACTGCAAGTCACGAACCTAAAGAACCCACTGCCAACATCCTGGTGCCCCAGTGGGGTTTTTTTGACACCAGGAGGGGCCTTAAATTCATAAGATATTAAGCAGGTGGTTTTAATATTGTGGAAGTGTAAATTCTAAATTAAACATATTAGTGCCGATCTATTAAACGTGCAACTTTTTCTTTACAGTAGTCTAGCCTCTTTTTGGTGAGCAATTTACAGAAATATTCTATGTATCTGTAGCTGTCATCCGTCCATCTATTATCGCTACACTGCTTATGGTCTGTAGGGTCATGAGGGGGCTGTAGCTGACTCAGGGTGAAGGCAGGGAACATCCTGGACAGGTCGTCAGTCTGTCGCAGGGCCTGTAAACTGACAGCTGATGTTTAAAAAAAAAAAAAAAAAAGCAGCACTTTGTCTCTTGAGTTTGGGCCAGAAAGTGGGAGAGTTTTATGTTTCGCATGTCTGACAGAGAAGCTGTAAATCTTGGTGTTAATCTGCCTCTGTGTGCAGGAGAGAGAGAGTATCTGACCACACTGCTCTGCACAACTTCCTCAAATGTGATGAATGAGTCGGGTACGTTCGAAAAAGAGCCAACCACAAACATTCAGCAGTAGCACTTATGTTTGAGAACCAAAGAAAACTAGTAGCGTCGCATACGACATATATATGTTAGTGATCACCATATAGGGGAGGAAACATCTACTGGTTAACACTCGTTGATGGTTAAACAGCAGAAAAGCCCACAAATGTTTATAATACCTTCACTAGGCTACAGATATTGTCCTTGTTAGTGTTGATGGTGTGATGTTGAGTGGCTCTTTTTATTCCTTCGCAGCAACTCGTGCACTCTTTAATCCACATAAGCTCATGAGTCTTCTCTAAATCCATCCAATCTGTTGAGTGTCTATACTTAACAGCCCTACTCAACAAATCTGGGTCAATAGATAGTATGGTGAAGCTACAGTTGCTTACATGTGACGAGCAAAATGACCATCGCTTTGGTTTAAAATCAGTCGAATTTGGTCAGATTCTGGTTTGGCAACAGCTACTGCAGATTCCTAGTCACGGAGGAATGAGATGGAATAAAGCAAAACTGGACGAGAACTTCAAGTTTGAGGATTTTAACCAAGATAATGGAACTCCAAGACCAAGCGACGAGCGACTGGAGCGGTTATTTTTGCCATCAGCCACCAGCGGAGTTTGATACGAGTGGCAACCATCATGTTCTCTGCAGTGAGTTGAATAGCAGCTGTGTGCAGCTGGAGGGCAGTTCAGATGCATACGGCAACATCTGGACGGATACTGAACCAGCAAGATTCAAGACTTGTAACAGTCGCTCGTTTGCCATGGATGCTAGAATAAGACTGGACAATCTGAAGGCTGGGTGTAGTTCACCCTCACCCTGTTGCGCTACAGACAGGATGTTGTACAGCTTTAGAGGTGAAAAAGACCTCATGGAACGTGAGGACACACAGGAGGAACAGTCTGCTTTGGATTTGGTAGAGATCCTGGATATAGAGGATGATGTGCAAGATGAAGAGAGCTGGTAGGTGCCTTCAGTAATACTCTGTTGTTGTGGGGCTTGTAGTGTAGAAGCATTTATTTTTCTGACCTGTTTCTTATCTTACTTGCATAAAGAGCACTGATAAATGCACCAAAGTGTATGATAATCTGTGTGGTTCAAGTTACCCTCTCAGTCAACCAGTATTTGACATTAGAAGTCAGACGTGCCTCCTTCCTCACAGGTTATATGAGTCTCCAAAGAAGCAGTCGATAGTGGAGAAAAAGGAGTCTGCTCTGAGATGGTGTCGACACGTCCTCGATAACCCCAGTCCTGAGATGGAGGCGGCGTGTCGTGTACTCATAAATGTGCTGGATCAAAGTAAGCAAGCTGCACAGACTCACTCATTAGCCGGCAAATATTCTTGAAGATAACACTTCAGTACGATGGGGTTTATATTCCTGCTCTTTGTATCGTCAGGATCAAGCCATTCCTTCTACAGACGTCCTGCGGTTTCACCTCATGCTGCTAGTGTCTCTGAAGGCTCCTCATCTGTCAGCACAACACACAACACCTCTGACACTTTAGGTAATGAGATCCTCAAGAACTCCTTTTTACACACATCACTCTGAGATACAGCTCTTAAACCCTGATTAATTAAAGAAAAACATGAATCAACACGTAGAGGGCAAATTCTTTTCAGTCCAGCCCATAACTGTTTGGACAATTAAATATGTTTTTGTTTGTCTGGCCCTGGTGGATACTGCATGAAAGTTTTAGCTTCAATTTGTGGTTTACATCACTTATGTCAGCTACTAAATGTGTCTCAGACAGCTGTGTCATGTCAGTGTTCATGCAGAGGACATAAGCCTATCTACCAAAGATCAAATTTAGTTACAAGAAAAGAAATTGTTGAGTACTTAATTTAAAAAAAAACAAAAAACAAAAAACAGATGCAAACAGGAAATCAAAGTCTCCGCAATGTAGGGTAACGTGTTTCTTTTAAACGCTGAAGAGGAGACTTCATGAGCACAACATCAGAGGATTGGTTACATAATGCAAACCACAGATGAGCCTCAGAAACCCGAAAGGCCATGTTACAGTTTACAGCAACGTACAAAGAGAAACCAGCAGAGTTGTGACGGAGGAAACAAAAATCAACCTCTATGTTGATGAGAAGATGAAAGTGTGGCGAAAACCAGGACCAGCTCATCTGCTAAACATGGTTATTGAACTGAAAAACTGACATTTATTGGGGATTTTACTGGATAACAGTTAATCATTCAACAAGATGACAATGCTGAACAGGAGCCAAAACAGCGAAACAGAGCTTTCTAGGGCAAAGAGCTGAAAAATATCTTCAACTGCTGAGTCAAATCACCTGATCTCGATCTGACTGAGATGCGTTTCACTGTTGGAAGACCGAGCTGACAAAACACAACAAGCAAAAGCTGAAGGTTGCTGCAGAGAAGGAACCAGGAAGATGTAAAACTTGCAGTATGATGGTTATGTGACTTCAGGCAGACATTGATTACATTAAATGAATATTAAATTATGCAATTTAGTTTGACTTGTGTACCTATCTAATTACTTTCTGTCTCCTAAACCTTGGACACTCTGTATTAAAAATGACTTCCACACAGTTCATAATGACACAAAGCTACTCAAATTAAAGCTGATACTTGCCACTTTCATGTTGTATCCATTATTCTGAAAAAAATAGAACCTGAACAACAACAAATGTAGTGCTTTAAACTGCCTATGTTTGTCCGTCTTTAATATCTTATATTTAGTAGCACGTGTTGCTCTTATCAATGTGCACAGATCACAATGGGGTGAACATTCCCCATGACTCCATAACCACAAGCTACAGACTACAGGACATCACAGACGTCCACATTATGGCCCGAATACAGGAAGCCAGTGAGTACAGAAGAGCATTTTTTTTTAATATTTAGTGTACACTGTACAGCAAGTGAACTTTGGAATGCAATAATAACTTTGGTCCATGTTGTTTTTCAGGTTTACGACAGGACTATGTTTCCATGCCTGCCGCTGCTTCACCAAAGAGGAGCACCGAGTCTCCAGTGATGTTCTCATCCTGTTTTAACTCCACAGCTCAAAAAAATACTGATGACTTTACCCCAGGAAATAGAACTGAGGCTTCATCATCCCCCAGTTGGCAGACTGGTGTACCGTCACGCTGCTCTTCCCCTTTCCAGTCACCAGCATCAGTTGCTAAGCAGGGCTGCCAAAGTCCCAGACTGGCCAGACTTCACCAGCAAGTCACCCAATTCAAGCTGCTTAAACTGGCTCAGAATCAAGGTACACAGAGTATCCGCTGGTGATGATTATAAGTTTTCTTGTGTGATTAAAGGAACTCTGAGATCTTTTGCATGGTGGTGAGATCTCAGTAAGTTCCTTAAACACAGACTGTGCACTTTGGACAATTCTGTGGAGGATCAGAACTGTTTGTCTTTGAGTTATAATCTCATCACTTTTCAAAGAAGAGAGGTGTTTATGTTCTTCAGTGCTTCTTGTTTTTTAAGTAGACAATGAGGAAAGTAAAAGAACAATACAATAAAGCAAAATAATCCAATTAGTGAATATTTTTAAGAAATGTTAATGCTATGTTTAGTGATGCATGGTATTAAAATTTCTGGCTACCGATATTAAGATTTCTGATATCGCCGATAACTGATATTGTGTCGATATTAAATTTTTGTTCACACCGAAAAATGACTGTAAGAAGCACTTTGAGAACATGAAAACTATTCAAGAGAAGCCAATAATAGCAAATTAGACCACATAGTCTGCTGTGTACAAAAGTAAAACATATTTAAACATATTTAACGTTCAAGTCCAGGAGCATTTAAGTAAAAACATCCGTGAAATAGCAGCAATATCAAATGTAGAGACGAAGGCGCTGATGTTAGACAATCATCTGTTTTTCACATCGGTTAAATTTGTTCATCGGACTGATACCGATATATGGGAAAAACCACTCATACCATTTTGGTCGACAATATATCGTGCATTCCTAAGTATGTTAGATATAGATGTTATTCATAAGGGTAAAGTTAATACTTTTCCAGATTCCTTTTGAGATGGATCTTTGTGAATGTGCAGCTCATCGACAGACAATAGATAGACGTGCACTGGAATTTTACCTATTGCACCTTTTTTTGCAGCATCACCAGGCAGGACAAGGTCACCTCTGCAGACCAGCCTCCGCTCCCTGCAGGCTGTCAGGAACAGCAGAAGCATGGATACAGACGACTGCCAACCTGCTGACCAAATCACTCACCCTCCATCAGGTTTGGATCTGCTCTCTCACACAACAGACTTCAGATTTACATGTCATCTCTCTGTGTCTTCAACTGAATTTGATCAGTATAAAGAAACATTCTCTGTTTTACAGGTGCATCATCTACCAGAATGGGGTCAAGCTACTGGTCTACATCACTTTCTCCTGCACTTCTGAACTCCAATAACTTGCGCTCGATGAAAGACTCATCGGTGCGGTCGGCAGCCATGAAGAAACTGCAGAGGTCTCAGTCTCTGAGCCCCTGCAGGATCCCTCACCCTGCTAAGGGATACCTGTCTGTTCGCGGACGGGTTTTTGCCTCACCTGAGAGGCCGACCAGTACAGCTTGGGCCAGAAACGTACCATCCATTCGGCGGTGAAAGACGCAGAAGCAGAATTGCAACATAAACACCTTGTAATAATTTGTTCACATGGTCGACAAACCTGCATATTAACAGAAATAGCTGTAGATTGTAAACTAATTCGTGCTTGTATAAGAATCCCTCATGCTGTTGTATGCTGCTCTGTGCTGTGTCTGTATGAACTCTTCATGCTGAGTGACTTTCCCCTCAAACAACCAGTAGGTAGGAATGCAAGAATGTGCACATCATGTGCTGCGGCTGTGGCTCAGGTGGGAGAGTGAGTCGGTCAATGATGGGAAGGGCGGCGGTTTGATTCCGCCCTATAGCCTGTGTCATGGTCGTGGTGTCCTTGAGCAAGACACTTGACCCATCTTGCCTGATGTAAATGCGCATGAATGGATTGTTCCAGGTGGTGGTCGGACGAGCCGTGGGCGCAGAATGGCAGCCACACCTCTGTCAGTCTGCCCCAGGGCAGTTGTGGCTACACTCATAGCTTACCACCACTGGAATGAATGTGTGTGAATGAATAATTGATAGTGTTTGAGTTACTCCTTGAGTAAGAAAAGCACTATATAAATCTCATCAATTATTATTGTGAGCAAAGCATGACAGGAGCAACAAAAACCCCCATGTTGTGTTGTTTTAAAAGCCCAAATCATGTGAACTGTTGTAGAAATTCAGTGACGTTACATAATTGTAGAAATGTGAGGATAATGCTGATAAATTCACCCATCTGAGCGGTTTTGCTGCGATGCAAGCTGCATGAGCTAAATTAACTGTTAACACTTGAACAGGAAGTGATTCAAATAGATTTTATGGCTGATTTGAATGCGGAAGTGCCGTCAAACTTCAAGTTAATGTGGGCGACTACAGAACGAGCCGCTTTCTGCAGAGCTGTAGCAACAGGAAGCGTGCAGTTTGCCGTCATGTTAGAGAAGCTAAATAGGTGAAGTCTGCATAAAATGAAGCGACATTACAGGAAACAGACCTGTGGGTTCGGTGTGACTCTTTCATAGAAGTTATTCAATGATTTCCACTACTTCAGTGGTGGCTACATTTTGCTGATGTTTTTGTGCTGACATGATTTAGTTCATCTAATAATCCTTGACTCACCAAATGAGGGGATTATAAAGCCCAAGTCTAGATGTTGCAACTCTCAGAGAAGCTGAACTTCTTCCACTGTGTTCCTACATGTCACCTGCAGTGCTGTTTACACTGCTGTGGCTCTCAACCTTTCTTTCATTAATAACCAACCTATTAAAAGTCAGTTCCTGTTCACTTTTCTTTGATCTCTTGTTTGCTCCTTGTGCTTGAATAGGAGCCGTTGACATCTACTAGCAACGGCACAGATAATAGAGAACAAAGTCGCTGTGCAAATGTTTATCATGGCAACCTGGTGAGGAAACGCTCGAGTCAGTTCAGACTTTGTGAACAAAGACATTCAATAGTTTGTTTGCTGAAAGTGACGGTTTGGTGTTGGAGTACCCTCTGCTGTTCACCGTGTTTATGAACATGCTTCACTGTGACTGAACCACAGACACATGAACTCTCCATAAACACAAGATTTAAAGATTTGATACCTAAAAGTGAGTGAGGGAAACCACAACACAAAAGAAACAGATACAGAACTGTAACTCTTTATACTGACTAACACCTGATAAAATAAAAAAAACTAACCTCAATCAGCATCCTTTAACTAAACACTTACTTTGATTGCATTTCAAAATATACGCAGTGATTTTCAACCAATGAGCACAAATAATGAAATCTTTCATTCTACACCTCAGTTATTTCTTTTGTAACCGACATAATATGCATCCATTGCATGTTCAGTTATAAGTAACCATAGCCTGTCACTGGTGTTGTATGTCCTTCATTACAGTGCGAGGAAGCAGAATGAACAAAGAAACAGACACTAGATTTCAAAAAATTGTAATAATCTAAACAAGAAAGAAAGATACAGTGTCTGTAGTTGGCTTTCCTGATTCTTCCCTTCATAAGAGGAAATATTAATCTGTCAAAACAGAAGGTGAACTGCAGACCTGAATTCCTCTGATCTACTCCTAACTGGAACAGTATGAGAAAACAGTCATTTAGTACAGATGAGAATTCTGTCACTTCAAAGAGTAGAAGAAGAAATGCTAATTAGTTTTTGTTTGTAGTCATGATTTGCTGTTTCCTTGTCTTCTGTATATTTATTCAGAATGGGGTAGAAACACAGGTGATGAAATATTTTTCTGATTGCAGAGTATTGAGTTAAAACAGTACAAAACAAGCAAATACACACTTCTGTGTTAAGATACATCATGGTACACAGTATTAATTGAACATATAAAAAGCAAACAGAAATTTACAATGTGCTGATTGTACTGCAAAAGGTACAACAGAGCAACAGCAGGATGCTATAAACATTAACCATCATTTACAAAGTGAGAACAATGTACATATTTACCTGAAAAATCGCATTTTCTCAGTTTTAAAACTGGGATTACAAATGTCTTCATAATACTGCGCATAAAAAAAAAGGAAATTTGCCTAATTGTCGGAGTCCATGTCGCTGTCTCCCCCAATTGATCTGAACTCTTCGCTTTCCTCGTCTTCGCTGAGCTGGACCTGGGAGAGCACAGCAGGGCCTCTCCTTCGCGCTTCATCTTCTTCATCTTCCTCCTCCTCCTCGCTGATGCCGTATTCTTCTCCGTTTCCCATGCTAGATGGTGGCAGCTGACTGCGACTCTCTGTCTCCTCATAGCTGCCGTAGCTGAGACAGAGAAGTAGGAAAAGTCAGAAAGAAAATTAAAAAATTAACCCCATCATCAGAATAATGCTCACTGTGTATGACTCACACTAATGATTATTCAGTTACTGATTGATGCCAACTAATGGTTAAGATAACTGTTAGATATTTGCACCACTAATACTGACTGATCACTATTTTTAAGTGATGAAAGCTAAATATAAATGCCAATTTTTTAGATACCTGCGTGTGACTTTCTGATGAGACAGAAATCATCTACATTCTTGAGTATTGTATTAGAAAACAGTATTGATTGCTTGTTGTACCTGACATTGCTGTCTTCCATGTGTGGCTCATCGGGCACATCCCCTTCATACGACATCATGCTCTCGTCCTGCTCCATGCCCATGCGAGCTGTGTCTTGAGCTCTCCGAGGAGGTGCAGGTCGCACATCAAGCTCTCTGTCGGAGTCGCTGCCACTCTCTGACAGTTGTATGGCTGCAGCAACACACAACGCATCAGGATATTTTACACAGTGTGTAGAAACGCAAAGCCATGCAAATACTCTAAGAATAGACATTTAAGTAGACGCTGTGTGTTTCCAACACGCCTTTTCACAGATTATGAATTTTTGAATGTAGGATGGACAGAAATTGTTCCTGAAGATTCATTTTTAAATGAAAGTACTCCATTTCTGCTCCAGCACTACCAGCGGACTTACAGGAGAAAGGGTTGTCGCCCTCCTCTTCACTGGCATCATCCTCTCCGTCAGACATGAGCAGGTCCTGATACAGCACGCTGGCTTGGGCTGGGCGGTTCGATCTTCTACTGTCTCCCTCCTCTTCGTCATCATCCTCGTCTTCCTCCTGATCATGCATCCGCCTGCGAGGCGGCAGCAACATGTCCTCTTCATCATCATCGTCCTCCAGATCTCCTTCAGCATCCTCAGCCTAGAGACATGGGCCATACAAACAGAAGGTAAATAAGAACACCAAAAGCTGTTAAGGAAAGAAAAAGTAAGTAAAAACTCACTGAAAAATATGAAGAAGTAACATAATGTCTTAAATAATCGTCACTTTTAATATCTAAAAACACACTTTCTAATACCAGACCATCTTTTTTTTTCTCCTCTTTTTTTTTAACGACAGCAGTCACACAACTTAAAACTAAACTAATTCAGAGTTGCTGGATACATTTCCTGTTTTATAGATTTGTTTGCTATTGGTGACCTCATATCATTAAATCTGTCTTTCTTACAGGAGCAGGGGTCTTGGGTTTCCCATCATCTTCCTCTTCAAAGCCTTCAATATCCACATCGGACTCTTCTTCCCCAGGTCTCCTGCTGTGTCGACCCTGAGGGGCAGAATATAAAAAGTCACACTTGCCAAAGTCAGACTCTGATGTTAAGTGTATACCACACAGGCTAAAACATTAGGAACAACAAAATCGCCTGATCAGTCTGGATGCTCTGCAGATAGTTAGAGGAGAGGTTGCAAGCCTTATTTCTGTCTCTCTCCATACCTGCCCCCCTCTCTTCTCTGGAGCAACCACTAGAGGTCCCTCAGAGAAAAGGCTGCTGGGCTCTCTGGGCAGACTCCCTGAAGCCCCGCTGTCAAACAGATCAGCAGGCTGGCCAACACCACACAGAGCGGCACACACAAACAGGGAGACAGGACAAGAGGGCAGGAGCGAAGGAGAAAAACGGGTTGGGAGAAAGAAGACACTACAGTGAAGAAACTAGATTGTAGAGATTAAAGTTTGGAAAGGACAGTTAGTGCAGAGAACAAGTGAAGAAATAACAAGGGCAGGAGGAGCACTACAGGGTGTGGCAAGGAAGCTACTGCACATGGAAAACCTTAGACTATTTGGTCTGGCTCGTTATAAACAGTTGGCAGCCTAATGTCTCTTGACAGTGTGGTGCAAATAGGATGCCCAGAAAACCACCATTTGCCCAGCTAGCAAATAAAAACTTGGCCCAGGACGGCCTCTTACCTGTGGCGTGTAAGGCCCAGGGGTCATTGGGTCCAGACTCTCCAAGTCTGCTGCATCTAGAGCGGCCTCTTTCGCAGTAGAAATGTCCTTCTCCAACTGTGTCAAGTGCTCGTCATACTGGAAACACAAAAACAATTAAAAACTACAACACAGGGTAATACTTTCCTTGCTCATAAAAATGACATTGTTTGAATGGCTGAGAATTTGACACTGATTAGAAAACTGTTTATGAGAAAGTATGGAAACATATGCTGTCACATAATGAATGAAATCTGAACCATCGCATAGTGGTACTTAAAAATATGGGAGCAGTGGGTTGTTCTATAATACAACATTTACCATAAGCTATTCCATTACAGTGTTTTTACTACTTAGAATGGGGAAGAGTTCATATGTCCTCCAACCATTCTAAGATGTGGAAGTGCAAAAAAAAAAGAGAATCTTGTGAAATGTGTCAAAATATATTACCATATATATATCTCCAATTAAATCACTGATTCAATGGAAACAACTTGGCAGCTAATTAATTCATGAATTAAAGCAACCATTAGCTAGCTGGTTGTTTAGCTAGCATAATCTGAAATGTTTAGAAATTCAGAACGTATGCAGGGCAGATTTAGTAACTCAGGAGCTGCAGGAAAACTCTGTCTTAGGTTATTTTCACCCTTTCGTTAACTGAATGTTGGTGTTGGCAGTGAAGGAAAAACTTCAAACTTTTTCTCTTCATTAAAACTATTAATACCGCACAGTGAAAATACAACCAAATAAAAAGTCCTGCATTCAATTCTTTTCACCTAAAAATGACGAGTGAAAGAGAAAAGGAAACGTAGAGAGATATTAAAGCAATGTTATTTCGGTTTAAATTCATTCACTTAAAAAAATAACCAATAAGAGTACCGTTTCACTGACAGATTGATAAACACTCTCGTTAAGAGTAGTAGTAGCCCTGATGATACTCATTCATCCTCGTAACCCTTCCCCTTGAGGTGCAAAGAACAAACTATGAGATCAGATTCAACATACCTCTGACAAGGTCTGCTTGCACACGTTGACAATCTCCAGAGCTGTCTTGGTGTAGGGACTGTCTGAGCCTGTCAGAGACACACAAGTGATGATGTTACAACAGCATTTTTACATAACAACAAAGCTCTGTTTTAGACTGTGAATTTTTAGGAGATGCTGTCATGGTAACAGTGATAGAAACATTTACCGTTGTATTTGATGCTGTTGGTGTGGATGAGGCTGATGTCTGAGAGGAACGCATCTCGGTTCTGGTATTTATGCTTGGAGATGTTCTGTTAAACCAGGGAAGACACACACTGTTGCTAAACACGCTGCCAAATTTCAATGATGATATTTACTGTCAGACTGACATCTCATATCCTCTTACCTTGCGGATGCTTTCCAGGTCCATGGGGTTCACAATCACCTTATAATAATCGGGCACAAACTTCTTGTTGACAGGATGGTGAAACGGCCATGACTACAAGGAACAGAACGATGGAGGAATGAGGGGCAGGTCATTATCTGACTACACTTGTTCTTAAAGTGACTGAGGTTAGAAAGAAGAAGAAGGCGACTCACGTCAGGAACCACCATCATCTTCTGGGTTACAATGTTGTCCAGGATGAAGGAGAAGGCCACCTGATCATCGTCATCCAGCAGGGGGTTGATGGCTTTCTCTAGTCTCACCAGCCTGTCCTCCTTCTGCACAAACACAGATTTAATAGGTAAACTCACAATAGTGTGGAAAGATGTGGCATAAGATTAAAACCCCTTAAATCTTCACTGCTGGTAACAATCACTCACCTCTTTCAGTTTGGCATCACACAGGTCCAGCATAGACTGAGCAACTTGTGTTATTGGATGTTTTGCCCCTGGTGAGACAAAAACAAAAAGATATCTCAACACAGGGCCAAGGTTTCTTAACTCGCAGAGCTGTGAAATATATTCCTTTAACTTTACCATTGTAGGTGGCGCTGTTTTTGACGATAACCTCCACTGCTTCACGGAACTCCTCCCTCGACGGATACATTCGCTTGCGTACATTTTCCCTCAGTGTCTGCAGGTCCATGGGCCGAGTGATGATCTTATAATAGTCCTTCACAACCTTGGCATTGACTGGCGTGTGGAACGGGTATGTCTGCATGGAGAGGCAGTAAGGATGAGACTGCAGAGCAGGAGAGACGGTGTATGACAGTGTGAAGTGCGTGCCTGTCACATCTTACATTGGGGTGATCCCTCATGTCATTGATGATGCTTTCTAGCACAGAAGACAAGGTCACCATGGGATCCGTGCGTCTGCGGTGGATGGCCTTGTGGGGTTTCTGTTGATATTAAAAATCAAAGACGGTGCAAAAAAAAAATCAGATAAAAGGAGTCTGACTTCACAACGTGTTAGAACAAGCTGTAAAACAAAGCTTACATTGAGGTAGTCACAATGGACTGCACTGCCTACGCGTCTCTTCTTCTTTGGTGGCAGCTGTTGCTTGGGGAACTTGAGCACTAAAGACTTTCTGCGCACTTCATCAGCACTGTAGGAGAAAAAATAGGTTAGAAACTGACAGAGGCACCTGTCACAGATAATGCACTAAAACTCTCTGATAAAATTCTTTCAGTGGCAAGAGAGTAAGAATAAAAGAACGTTCTTCTACCTTTCAATGAGCTGTTTGCCCAGCACAATCTTAGTGCCTTCCACCTTGATCAGCTCCTCATTGTCATTGTGGATGACAGTCTTTTCCAGCTCCTCCTCCTGCTCCTCTGTCATGGCTACTGGGTTTGAGGGCGGGGCGTTGGTTTGATAATAAAGCGGGCAGAATTTGTTGGTCCTCATGTGTCCAATGGCCCCACATGCTCCACACTTTAGCTAGGGAAAAGAGGCAAACATTAAGGAACACGACGATATTCTACCTGTGTTATATGATAATATTAATGAAAGAATTTATTATTTATGCAAAAAGCAAAATGGCCTTAGATTTGCATCAAGCTGGGTTCTAAGAAGGTGGTGAGGAAAAGGTGAAAGAAAGAAGTATAGTACTAAATCAGCAAGCTTACTTTTACCTTGAGGTCTGGTCTCTCTTTGACCTTCTTGGTCTTCTTCTCTGGGGGTCCCTTGATCTTGTCCTTCTCCTGGTTTCTCTTGAGCCTCCTCAGCTGCTCCTGAATGCGTCGTCGCTCCTTCCTCATCTCTTCTCTGTGCTGCTCATCGAAGAGGGCGAACTTTCGTCTGCAGTCACAAAGGTTGACAATACAAGCTGTTTTAACATTCACTTGTTTATTTGTGGTGTTGGCGTGGACCTAATTAAGTGGCCCTACAATAGGAAGTCTCTGTCTTTGTCCTTAATGAGCTCAGGTCCACTCTGGAGTATAGCAGCTGATCTTCTGGTTAGACGCTTTATTTATTTATTCATAAGGTTTAGTCATTTTTTTACTCTTTCATTACCTAATAGCTATTTTTAAATGCAGGCCTTTACCGAACACTTTCAAATGATTAGATTGTGCTGCTGGTGCCAGGTGTTTTTACTGAACTTGGAGAATCCAACTTTACTCACTGTGCACCTGAATCTATCTCTATTTTTATCCTTTGGGCAATTCCAGTTCTTAATTTAATTTAATTTAATTTAACATTCAGCTGTTCTTGTTTCAGTTGATTAGTTTATTGTAAAAATGTAACTACTTTAAATAATGTTTACTATATTGTAAATGTGTGTACTCCCAGTTTAAATAAAGGTTGAACAGGTGAATAAATTCAAAAGTACAGATTAAATGTATGGTGCCTACAGCCACATCACAACTAATTGGCATAAGTTTATTAAAGTTGCAGCCGAGATGTGAATTATTATCACTGCTTACTTTATATTAATTAAACACTGCTCAGTAGTGGTTGGTTATAAAACAGTTTGATGGAACATTTCCTTGGAACAAATAATTACTGCAATATCAGAATATGAGTATGATAACTGGAACTCACATGAATTCATCATCCTTGGTGGTTCTGATCCTGGTGTAGGCGTCGATTACTGAAGCTTTGCGCACCGTTTCACAGCGGACATATTCCTTGCCATCCTCGTCCCTGAAGGTGCGATAGATCTTGAGTCGCCGTCCTGTGGCTGAGGAGTTTAGGCTCGTGACGGAGGATGTGTCATCGTCTTTGTGGGAGCTCGTGGACAAGGAACTGGCTGCAAAGTCAAGGGAAATAAAGTTCATGATTACAGTCACAGCAACACATGTGTCTTTAGTGTGCCATTAAGAACCTGTTTACTATCAGTAATGCACACTTACACAAGCCTTTGCGCCGCTCCTTGCGTCCCTTGTTGTCCCGATCACTCTCCTCACCCATCAGCATCCTTTGCAGCTCCTTTCTCTCTTGCTCCTCCCTCTCGCGAGAAAGCTGGGAGCTGGTTTTCTTGTTCTGCAGCATGTTCTCGATGTTCTTACCCATCTCCTCAAAGTCGCTATCCTCAGCTGAACTGCTGTCCGTGTCTGTGGAGAGCACCTCTGTCGACTCTAACACTCTGTGTTGGGGTGCAACAAGAAAATGTATTGAAGATGTGCACGGGCGGGATCCTGAATACTGTTTCTATTAGAGTGTAAGATGAGAGTCTCACTTGTTCTGTAGGTCAAAGATCCTCTGGCACTCTTCCTTGTAGCGCTCCTGGTGTTCAGCGACCGAGAAACGAGATCCTCTGGCAAATTTGCTCATGGGTCCTTCACCTGTGCGCGCCTGCTCTGTCGACATGGTTCTCACCACGTCAATAACCTCCCAACGTGAGAGTTTCTTGATCTAACACACAAATAAACACATGATCGTTTGAACGAGCCCGAATGTGCCATGTGTCTTTCTTACATTTGTCGCCAACAACAAAAACTCCAAAAACACATTCAAAGTCTTTTTGGGAATTTCCATAGAGAGAAAATAAAAGACACAAGAACAGAAAAATTGAAATGATCAATTCAGCTGGTTATTGATATCAAAACAGGGATCCTCTAATTAGGGAAACGTCTCCTTAAGCTTGATGCTTTCCTACATCAGTTTTCAGCATATGACTCTGGTCTTACCTCTTCCTCTGGAACACCAAACTTGCGCAGCAGTTGCTTGGCATTCTTCAGTGACAGCCTCCTGAGATCAGCATCTGTCCCCGTCACAGTCTTCTTGACAGGCTGTGGCTCTTTGTCATCCTGGAAACATGGACAGAACCAAGTTTTTTTTTTTTTACCCTCTATACTAACACAAAGCAGAACATGTACAGAAAACAATGCCAAGGTGGCAGAACTTCACGAGGACAGTCAGACCTTCTGTTGAGTGGGCTTGTTGGGCACTTTCACATAAGAGAAACCCTCTCCGCAGCCTGTGGGATCAGCCACGCCTGTAACCTCCAACAGGCATTTCCCCTTCATGGCAGAAATGAAGGCTCTTGTTGTGTTCCAAGGAGCTGTCCGCACCTAGGAAGTGTGACAGACTCAGTGTGAATCTAAAAAGTTTTCTCATGCCTCGATCAGTTAACTTCAACATGTTCGGATCAATACCTCATCATCAATCTTCATTTGAAAGTCCTCCTCATTCTCCTCCTCTGGAGCAAAGAAGGACTTCTCACCATATCCGGCATCCTAAAGAGGTCAGATAACTGTGAGTGAAGCAGTAGACACACTGTTTACTTATGTACACCATCTGAAGTTACTTGGAGGTGGATAGTGTTACCTTGAGCCTCTGCTCCGCCACCAGCATGCTGTAGTAAGCACAGCATTGCTCTGGAGACACCATGGCCCTGATCTCTTCTTCTGTAGGCAATCTGAAGTCAGGCTTCAACACCCACCAGTTTGAGTCCATCCCTGGCATGAGGAAAAGGCACTTGATTCATTTTCTCTCAGCTGGCATGTTTACTTGAACATAGAATGCAGCGTAAAAAGCCATGTAGTTAGTTTTTGTGCTGCAAACACCTGGAACATTTTACAACAAACACTGAAACTTAACACAACTGTACTTGTAGGTCAATTTCAAACCATGATCAAAAACAACTCTGCACTTGAATTTAACCGTGATTTGATGTTTTTTTCCCCCCCTCATTGTCACTGCCCTATTTATTCTGTTTGATGATGAATACTCTTGACATCACTGAAAATAAGGGCATGTCCTTAATGATTCTTCAAGATTGAAATAAAGATTTAATAAATAAATGAATGAATGGAAAGTAAAATCTTGCCATTGTTTTGTTTTTATTATATGCACATTGCAGAAATATATGAATTGGTGATACTCAACAGCCATATGCTGTTTCCTTATGCTGTGCTATAAATACATCTTATCTCTAGCATAAATCCACAGTAGGCCTAAAAAGCTCTTTCCCTGCTCAGATCCCTGGCTGTCAATTCTAGTCACATACACCACTGAGCTCACGCTGCTTCAAACAGCACAGAATCTCTTTATAACCTCAGTCTTGCCCTGATTCTACACAGCTGTGTTAGGTTAGTCCAGTTCACGATAATGATCACTAAATGCTAAACGGGTGTAAGTCTACCTGTACGTTTGAAGTCAGCACAGAGCTTGAGTCGTTTCCTGATGCTGCTCTCTGAGTGGGAGGGGAAAGCTTTCTTTATATCCTCCATGCGGATTCGCCGGGGCCGATCCTTGCTCTTCCAGAACAAGCGGTAAATGAAAACCTACAGAACACAGACGTGACAGCTGAACATTTGCAGCGACATCACCATCTGGAGTTTCTGGGAAAGGTTGGGCTATCAAACATACCTGCAGGAAGTCTCTGATGTGAGTATTGGCTCGTTTGGAGTTTGGCCCTGGAACTTCAAACAAGGGGCACTCCTGACCGACTACAATAATGTCCACAATCTCTCTGATGTAGTAGCCATGTCGTGTTCGTAGGACTAAGAAATCTGTCTCTTTCATCTTGTGCAGGTAGATTGGGGCACGGAAGAGGTTGTTTTCAAATGCCTGAAAGAAAAGGGCAGACCAGCTCACAGTTTGCCAAGATAACAGACCAGCGATGCGTCACACATTCACATAATCCAAATATTGAATCTTTGAGTGTGATGATGCTGACCTGGAGCAGCTGTCCAGGATGCAGAGAACCCAGGAAAGGGGAAGTGTGGCAATACACTGTCTCTCCATATTTACAGTCGGGCGCTCCAGGATCTTTTCCAGGTTTCTGAAAAATATAGTAACCATCTGTTTTAACAACTGTATTTAAGGAACAAGTAACCAGTGAAAATTTGGTGACTTTGAATATGATCTTACATTTACACTATTTGTGTGCGCTGCTGTGTTTCTCAGTTTCTCGCCATGAAAGTGGAAAAAAATACTATTCTCACCCTTTTGTAATAGTTTTTGATCTTGGTAGCCATGCCGACTTGCATGATGAGGGGAGCGTATTCTTCGCTGTACTCTGCTAGGATCAGATCTCCGTCTTTGCCCGTCAAGTCCTGCGGAGTTCGCATGAAGAACATGTCTCCTCCTCCTGCTGCCTGCCGCTCTTGTTCTCGCATCTATCCAACAAAAATTTCAGCACATGTAAACAGTACACCATTATGATTATTGCAAAAATGGCAAAAACACTACAAGGTTATCTGTATGTTCACAGAGTAATAACGTTTGTTTTGAGCAGAGCTCCACCTTGGCCTTTTTCTTTATGTGTTTGAGCAGCGGCTGAACAGCATGGGGGCCTGGCTGAGCCAAAGCTCCGAATGAGTACTTCTTCAGAGTTGGCCGATGGAACTGGCGAAGCTTCATGGGCCCCATGTGAGTGGGGAAGAACGGCTGTCTTAACTCCAGAGCTGGGATTGAGTGCTGTTAAAGGCAGAAAATTTACTCAGTCATATTTCACAACATCAATTATTGCTTAATTGCTTAATTATGTACGACTTAGGATTCTGCCACATATTTACAGAATAACTGACGATTTAAAGTATTTCCTGGTTGATGGCATCTTGTCGGCTTTATCTGTATTGTTGTGGGATGCTGATTACCTGAATGATGTTGCCACCAAAGGTTCCCCTGAGGCCCTGCTGTTTGGGATAGTAGAACTCATCATTGGAAAGGTTCCAGGGATCCTTCACCTCTGGCTGGGACATGTTCTGAGTTGAAAGAAAGCATATTTAGTTAATGTCTTCTAACTTCTTAATGCTTTAATTGAATTATGAGAATAGCTGTGAAGTTTCACAGTTCCAGTTTACAAACAATAGTAAGAATTCTTTAGCTTCAGATGCAAGAATTCTATCCAGTGTTTCCTCTACATTCATTCCTTCCTTTTTTTTTCCCTATTGTCACAAATACACCACCGCCGCATGTCTTCCCCTTCACAGCAGAGTCCTGCACTGGGTACTCGCGAGACGTACTAAGGTAAACCACAGATAACTATCCTGCTCAGTCTCTACTCTTCGGGGGGTTAATGAAACGTTAATTACTGGTGAGTACTAAGGTAAATTACAGAGAACTATCCTGCTCAGTCTCTCGTCTTTGGGAGGTTAATACAACGTTAATTACTCGCGAGAGCGCGGCCTTGAAAGTGATGTCAAGTCCAGCACCAGGCTCCAGGTCAGATAGTCAGAGGAGGGTCGTCTTAGAGAATAGGGCAGCGACTTACCAGAGGAAAGGTAGACTTATTAGCTTACGGTAACTCAGAATAGATTTTACAAGTTAAATAGACTTTCGCAAAATATTGATGGCCAGCTAACGTAACATATCGACAGATTACGTTAACTGGGCCCGGTGCCAACTCAGTGTCGCTAGCGTGAGTAAACTAACTGATAGCATTAAGCTAACATCTTGTTCAAATATTTCTCTAAGAAGAGAAAGACACCTGATGGAGATGACACTAGCCAGTTATCATTAGCCTTTTACTGACTCATAACCGATGATGGTTCGGTAAAAAATAGTGTTCACACTGTAATCAGATGTGATGTGAGTGTAAATGATCTAACGTTAATGTTTTATTTAATTGTATAAGACAAGTAACATGAGACAGGGAGGAGCAGTGGAACAAAGTGAAGGAGAGCAGAGTACAGCAGGGGGAGAGAGATGAGAGTAGAGAAGAGCCTAAAGGGGAGCTCAGGCTATCAGGCTGGGACCCTACATGGGTTGAAAGAAATAGCCGGTTCCACTCAAGGCTCTGCCACACTGATAATGGGGGGTGTCCATGAACCGTTTTCCCTTTTTATTTTTTGCATAGTATACATAATCATATATCTGTTTTATTTCACAGAGTCAGCCCTGGTCTTCCTTATCAGAGATGTATTTTATCATTTCATTTTTCTTTCCATGTCTTCCTTGAAGACACACAGCTTATAATCTATCAATTTTCATTTTCAAACATGTGCTTATGCATGCGCTGATGAGACGACATACCTGCTGTGGCTCATCTTTTATCACTCCAGTCTTCCCCAGCAGGATGCGGCTCTTCTTGATTGCCGTTTCCTTCTTATTCTCTTTTGATGGGGAGTGAGAGGTTGTCTCCTCCTTTTCATCAGGAATTTCTACAAAAGGCCGCAGCATAGCATGTATCAAGAAAAGCAGACTAAAACAGGATGTGGCTAATTTAAGATCTTAGCAGAAGTTACCGTGCAGCTTAATATTTTTTGAATATACCTAGAATGATATTCTCATCATTGGGATCCAGTGTGAGCACAGGTGGTGTGAGAAAATAATCCATCTCCTGGTCATCCCAGATAATGTTGTCTTCCCAGCGTCCATACACCAACTCTTCATTGTCAATTGGAAAAATGGAGAACCAAGGACAGTCTTCTTCATGAGAGGCTGCAAAAAAACAAAAATAAATGAAGATATTACAGAAAATGAGAGACTATCCCAAGATAAATAAGTCCAGTGAATAACTTATGTCCATTGTGACCAAATAATTAACTGACCTTGATTATCATGGCTGTTTTTTTCCCGCTTAGAGCCAGAGATCGAAGATGCTTTGGGCATGGGTGGAGGTGTAGGTGGCACCAGTTGGGAATTACTTCTTGTTAGACCTGCAAGATTAAATAGTAAATAAAATAGTTTTACATACATTCTGCTCCACTATCAGTTATTACTGCACACTAAAATTTTTATAAAACTGTTGAGTTTGGTTTGGAGCAACAATTTTATTCAAGTTTTGCATATACTGCTTGGGCATAGTGTGTAATTTGCATCACAGAAAAGACAAAGAACAAGATTCCCTTTTGTATTTTCTCCTGGCATCTTACCCTGCTGTGCGTTGTAAGCATTGGCATTGCGGGTCATGCTAGACGGCAGCCATCCTGCCAGACTGGCTCGCTGAGTCTTGGTGCCCTTGTGTTTTACGTCCTCCCCATTCCAAATTATATCATCCTCCCATTGCAGCTGAGTGACCATCAGGAAGAGCTCGTTCTCTAGGGCCTCTTTGTCTTTTTCTTCATCGTCACTATCACCATTATCATCGTCATCGCCCTGCCTCTGTTCCTACAGACACATAATACACATAATCAGAAACACAAACAGTGTAGTTTCCCTGTTATGGCTACAGATGTCTGTGTCTGCGTACCTCTTGCATAGGCTCTGGAATTTCTTTAGGTGCATCCTGCTTCTCAGGCTCACTGGGCTGATGTTCCTTAAGCTTGAACCCATAGTTAAAATGGCTTCCATCCTCAGGGACGCCCAACATGTCGTACCAGAGCTGGGCTGGACCATATCTCCATTCTGCTACTTTAGGTCGAGACTCTGCCTCCTTGTCCCCATCGCCACAAGTTTGTGAAAACTTTGATTCTACTGGAGCCATCATGGTTATCTGGACAGCATAGAAAAGCATTCTAGGTGCTGGATACGATGACATGTTGCCAGATTGCTAACAATTAACACCATGAAAACTTACAACAGCCTGTAAAACTGGAAGACTTACCTCATCATCAGAGAGACACTGCTCTGGAGGTGGAGGGGGAGCGTACTCGTAAAGCCATCCAGACTTCTTCTCCTGGCTTTGTTCTGAGGGCTCTCCTTCTGGAGGTGGTGTTCCAGGCTGAGGGTCTCGGTGTTTCCGCTTCTTTTTCCTGCGGGCACTCCTCCAAACTGATGGCATGTTCTTTCCAGGACCAAACAGTCGCAAGAACCTAAGCACCTAGTAACACATCCAAAACTGAGTCAGTGCACTTCTTGAATTTAAAATGATGATTATAAAATAAACCTTTGGCATGCCTAACAATACATTTTAGCTTAGCGCAGTGCCTATAAAAATGGTTTACCCTTCCAGGCCTAAACTCTGGGAAGAGTTCTGTGACACTTGGCAATGCTTTGGCCGCATCTTTCTGCATGATGCCAGCAAGAGGGAGGGTGAGCCTGTCTGGGGGACCTCCAGCCCCCGAGCCCTGGCAGGGACGATCGGTTTCTGATTCAGAGTCGGAGGAGCTGCTGAAGTCCACCTTATCAGCCGTAGAGGATGGTGCGATGATGGAGGGCAGGATGATGCCATCACCGTCTTCCCCAACTGCCAGGACAGACAGTGACAGGTCACAGCAGCAATACGGACAATCACGTTTTATCAAAATTCTGTGTCTTAAATACTTAAACCTAGCCTGAATTTACTTAAATGTCAAACTCTACAAGAGTAAGATACAACTGCTCAACGGGAAAAAAAATATGGGTAGACATGTTCTTACCAGTTGGGCTTTGGGTTGAGGGTTCGTCTTTCTTAGCAGCAGCTGTAGGAAGACTTGGTGGTGGTGGAGGAGGCATAAGCTTCGAGTCAATGTCCTCACAGTCAGCATCATAGTCATCCTCATCATCTGCAATTAATGAGTGAGAAAACATGTTTACATTAATGCAAGTATAAACAAAAAAGTAACAAAGTCCAACAACAATTTGGAATCCTTGATAAGAAAACAAAATGCAAACAAAAAACAAACATAAAACACGTTTGGAATTTTCCTTTTACTATTTAGGCTAAAAATCTTTTGCTTTTCAATGATTAAATCCATTTTATACACCTTGAGAAAATAAATCCTATTTTAACAAAAGTAATCAAACATTAAAAATGCGATAATCACCTGTTTTCCTGCTTGGTTGCAAAGAGCCCATGGCTTGACGGTACTTCTTTGTCTCATCCTCAGCAACCTCACTGATGTCAGAATAATCAACTGCATCATCGGTGCTTTTAACCCAACCTGGACAAGGCAAAAAGTTGAAAAAATTACTCTTTTCTGTTTGTGACTACACTCATCCATCCATCCATCCATCTCTTAATCCTCTGTAGGATCGCAGGGGGGCTGGAGTCTATCCCAGTCGACTCAGTGTGAAGGCAGGGGACACCCTGGACAGGTCACCAGTCTATCACAGGGCTACACTTAGAGACAAACAAACACACTCACATTCACACCGACAGACAGTTTAGAATCACCAATTAACCTCAACATGTTTTTGGACTGTGTGGGAGGAAGCTGGAGAACACATTGCACAGGGAGAACATTCAAACTCCACACAGAAAGACCCCAGGTGTCCTGATCAGGTGGAAAACCAGGGATCTTCTAGCTGTGAGACGATGATGCTAACCACCGACCCAGCATGCAGCCCGACTCAACTCATAGAAAATCAATTTATGGATTTACACTCACCCTCTGCATCCACACTACTAGAGTCTCTGGTTTCCTCCTTATCTTCATCCTCATTGGCAGTAATCTCTGTGATGAGTGAGCCTAAACCCAAAGTACCCAAACCAGCTAGATGCTTTTTGGACTCCTGATGTAGGAAAAGAGGGCAGAAACAAAACATTTCAGTGACAGTGTAAATGAATTATACTCTTAAAAAACAGTACACTACACATAACTTCCATCAGTAATTAAAAACCTTAGTTCAAATGCAAAGCATGATGTTACCACTTAAAAACTGCTCATAAAGGTTGCTGACATGCTCTTTAAACACCTACATTGTCCAAAACACTGTCATCCTCCAACTGTCCATCTTCATTGATGTTTCCAAAGAGGAAGCCAGTGAGAGAAAAAGGACGATCTTGGTCCTCATCACTGTCTGAGTCCGACATCCTAAAGGGAGAACATTTACAGTTTAAACATTCGGACTATCTTCTAATGCGGTGTTGTGACTTGAAACATCAGTGAGAGGCATCACTGTTATCCTTGATTCAACCTCCCACTGCATTCAAACTAAATTTCAAAAGGACAACATATTCAAGTGATATTTCCTATCAACTGACTTGGCTAAAAAAAATGTTTAAATGTCAACAAAGAAAGTGTAGATCACAATATCAATGCATACATTTAATCTATGTTTCAAGAAAGCATCATTGCCTCAACAGTCACATTGCATAAGATCGTTCTAACAGAATTAAGTTATCATTCACGTCTCAGTACAAGACACGTATAAACACATATTTCCAAACACAAGTATGTCTTCAAATTGTTAAGTCTGTAAGATAAACTGTAAGATCTCCTGTTCTTCGTTACAGTATCCTCATTGAAGGCTCAAACACCTTGATGTCCAGACAAATAGCACCTCCTGTGTTTTCTACCATTGACATATTTAACGTCTGGTTGTACATTACATTTGGTTCACTTCTGCTTTAGCTGCACACAGTAGCTAACACTGTAGCAGAAGTTAGTGGCGTCTTACTACTGTTAGACCCCATTAAGACTTTGGGAAAGATAACAAATTCATCTTTCTCAAACAATTCAACTGGTCGTTCTGACCTGGAGCTTTGAATGTGATCATAAAAGCCTGATAACGTTAGCTGAGTAACAATGAAGATACAAACAACGTCAGTGATTAGAACAGCTAGCTTTAGCCCGCAGGCAACACGGTAAAGGGTACATTTCAGAAGTTTCACAGAATCAAATTACACTCACCTTGCGTGACTTCTCCTCGGATTTATTCAGTCTGGGTTTTGTCCAGCTTGCTGTACCTCCTGGATGCTAACGCAGACAGCTAACCGAGTTAGCTAATGCTAGCTCGATAAAATAACTTATTATGCATTAGCTAAAATGCATGTAGTTCAGCATATTTTCTCTTGTAACTACATCAATATTTCGTGGTTGAAAGGAAAACAAACAGAAAACGCATTTAATGCAGTCTTCACACAACTAATTTCGGTACCAACTTTGGTGTTTATTTATGTGTGTCACGCACCGCAGCGGTCTGCAGACGAGCGAGCGGAAGGTCCGTGTGACCCGGATGAACATTGTGACGCGTTTAGGTCCTCCCCGAAACGCGGTACACTGTGTGCGCAAAAGGAGCAAACTTCTATAACCACAAATTATTTGGCAATAATTTGCACACATGAGTTTCACAGTCTATACAATGAAGTATGGCAATGCGCTGAATATATGTTTATGTATTTCTACCCTTGTTTATCCTATACAAATGTTAAATTCGTACTTTTTCTGCTGTCCTTAAAGTTTGACGATACTGCCCTTCCTTGGTTATACAAAAATATATTACATAAATCAGTCATGATAACTGAGCTCATTATTTTTCGTTTTCTTGGCATTCCTCAACCCTTTAAAAAAAAAAAACTTTTATTATGGAGTTTTGAGGTCACTGTTCTGGGTCAGTACTGATCTCTGGTTGTTGTAGCTAATTTGAATTAACTGCCCAAGCCATCACTCTTAAGTTAATTACAGGTTCAGAGTTTGCTTTATTTATCTTAAATAAACATTAATAAATGTGGTTACTAAGGGCACCTTCATGTGGAGATAAACCCTGACAACGTTTCTCTGAGTACGTCTGAGGACAGATCATGTCTGCAGTTGTTTCCTGAAGTGAAACCCCCTCTGGGCGTCATGGAGGAGATTCATCTCACCTGGTCCTGTTTCAGTTTATGAGGTGGTGCGGTCAGCTCATCCTCCTCTCTCCTCCAGCTCCCACCTTATTTGGTTTTACTTTGTTTGTACTTTGGTTAATTTCCATTTTAGGCCTGTAAAGTAAACTTATTTTTAGTCTCAACTCTTGTGTGGCCGTCTCACTCTTATTCAGCCTGAAGTTGGATTGTGATACTGATCTCACAACAACCACAGTGTTTCTTCACCACATTGTTTCATGATGACAGTTTTCTCACAGGGAACATATCTAAAAAACTAGACCAACTATTCCTAAAGTTTGCACTTCTTACTTTTTTGGAAAGTAGATCAATTTGTTAACACTGAAAATCACCTTTTTTATTGTTTAAAATGTCCATATGGTGTTTTTTTTTAGTGGATTCAGTCATCCAGGGTTTCATACATAAGAAACATACAAAACAGAGTGCAGCTTTCCACATTCCTCTTCTTCAGAATCAGTTTTTGGTTTGTACTACTTCAATATTACAACTTGAAATTGTGCATCGCGGAGTAATTTTAGTGTTCGGTTCATAGGTGAGCTGGTGAGCTCGGGCTGCATCCCGCAGTGGAGGTGTGGGTAAAGAGAGGCGAAGATCTCATAGATCTGCACATTCTAGAGGAAGAAAGAGTGCAGAGTTACATCTCAGCTGTTTTACGCCAACAAGTAATATTTTTTATGGAGAAAAACTTCTAAATGTGCAACTTTGATACACAGAGGTGAGTTTTTAGGGGTTTAATCAATGACTGTGGATGGACTTCAGCAGAAACACTGAGTGTTCCGCTGTGAAAATTTAACAGAACTTTAGAAGTATGTGTGCCTCAGTTCATGCCTTATCCTGTGATCAGCAGACTTGAGCAAGAATCCCAAAAATCTGACTTTCTTCATGGTGGATTTTCATCTGAGGGTGTTCTTCTGCACTCGGCATGATAGAATGTAAAGTATAATCGCACACATGTAAAGAACAATAAGTAAAGTTCATGCAGTGGAAGCACCATGTTTCTACTAAATGTGAACTATTAAATCATTGTAATTAGGGCTGCAAATAATTATTTTCATTATTGATTATTTTCTAGGTGAATCAATTAGTTATTTTGTCTATAAAATACCAGAAAACAGCAAAAAAAAGTGTCTCCCAAAGCTCAGGATTTTATCATCAGAATGTCTTGTGTACACTTTACTGTCACAGAGAAGTACAGAAACCAGAACATATTTTAATTTAGGAAGTTGGAAACAGAAAATATTGACTTTTTTGTCCTTAAAAAAACGCTCAAATAGATTCACAGACTGTGTCAAAACAGTTGCCGATTAACTTAACAGTTGACAAATATTTGATAAATCATTGCAGCTCGAATAGCGAGAGGTCCTGAATCCTGAAAAAAAAAAAAAACCTTTAAATTTAGGAAAATGAAACAGTTATGAGGTCAGTAAAGACAAGCATACAGTAACAGTTTAGCCAGTTTTAATAGTTTTAAAACACTTGGATTGGAAAAAAGTACAAAAGTGATCCTGGACACCACAGTATGAAACCAGCCCAATAATGTAGGGTGAGAGGTGTGTTCCTTTAAAAAGCATCTTCTACAGACATGTTAATTTCAACTGGCCTTACCATACACATACTGTACTCACTAAAACAGATACAAGCAATAGTTTAAATACAATGGCTGACCCCAGTAATACATTTACAAGTGATCCTTAAAAAACTAATTAAAAGGGGGGAAAAGAAGTCTGACCACAATGCCATCCGGTATCTGGCAGTAAAATCATGCAGTATTACAATCGTTCCACTAAAGAGAAACAGCAAAGCACTACAGCTGTCACACAGTGAGAAAGAGGGCAGCCAAGAGGCGTCGATCAGACGGCCTTTCAAAGTGTTCATTGGTTGTTTTATGAATTGTTACTGAGAGAGTTCTCTACTGTTGAGCAGCAGCTCAGTGGTCACCCTTCCCACGTTTGCATACATTGTAAAGTTGCACATGGTCTCCGTTAAGGAGAACTTATCTTCCACAATCGCATCCATTTAGAAAAATATAACTAATTGCTATTGAAGAAAACCCCAAAATGTGGGATATTCTCTTAGTATGTTGTGAGGAAATAAAAAAGCTAGGAAATACAGTTGAATAAATAAAATGCATGACATCCATAAAAATTAAGTGGATACACTGAGTCAACACAATGCTATCCACATATGCACACCATGCTTTTTGTTTTGGCCCGGCAGTGTTAAAAACGAGGGCTCCATCCTCCACTCCATCCAAAGTCACACCCTATGATCCAGTGGAAAAGTCGCCATAAAATATCTAAAATATGTTGACATTTAGAGAAAGAGATTGAACAATTGATTTCCATGTACAACATGGTGTCTGGCGTTACCAAGTAAGAAGTAATCGATGTTGATGGTAATGAGGAAACACAGGAGGGAGACTTTCACAGTGTTACAAAAATGAAGCCGCTCTGTGTTGTTACCCGCTGGCCGGCCTATTGTTAGGGCAACAGCAGTGAGCTTCCTGTCCGGTCAAACTTTTTACCCTTCGAGAGGGCAGCCACTTGTTTCATCAGCTCCCTGTTCTTGGACTGTGGGAACAAACGAATAAATGTGTTAGAAAACAGATAGTGGCAATTTTTAACACCGTAGTAGACGGTAAAACATTACATTATAAAACATTAGAACTTCACAAATGTTCCAAGCTTAATAGCATCAGTTGTTCTCTTGTATGATCGCATGTTACTTCACCAACTCCAGCCTACAGTTTACTAGCTAGTTATGCAAATGTGTCTTCCCTTGATGCCAGAATTTGCACAACAGCTCAGTGTGCTTGTTTTAAGTTTCCTAAGAATTATGAGATGAGGCAGAGGGGCAGGAATGGAGAGCAAAGGTACACTACCAATCCTCGCCTCTGCAGGGACTAGTTTACACCGGGTAGTTTTACAAACTGTCATTACAGACAACTAAGATTCACAGACAACCTGATGATAAAGAGGCTGAACCGACTGTCTCCTTCTCCATCTTTCATTCTCTGGCTACAATCTTGTGCCATTCTCAGCAGTACATGCGCATTAATGAGTGGAAGTTGCCTTGAGTGTTTAGTTTATTATCGTGGGAAGCTTAGTCTACTGCCGCAAAGTGACAAAAATAGTCTGTATCTAAAGGGCTAGTTTGTGGTTTCACATCTAATGTGTTTGGTTCGGTCAAAACAAACTCAGGCCTTTTTGCACAGTTGGAACGCTTCATTTGGGCTGGTGTGAAAGTTGCCAATCAGCCTTCAGCAGACTTGTCCTCAGCATTTCACAGCAGAGACTAGTGCTTGTTTTTTTCACAAGCATAAACTTTTAAAAACATGATTTTTTCCCCCCACATATTGGCTGGGTTGTTATTAACATAGTGTTCCATGGTGATACAAACTCAGAACACATGAACAGACATTAAATCTTGGTAGTGATTTGAATGGAAGCAAACACAGTAACTGGCTTTAACACATTACAGTGTCAAAGCATTCAGTTTTATTATTCATGGTTGTCATCATTCTTTTGACGAGTGTCTGGCTCACGGATACCTGCTGTATGGAGAACAAGCGCAATATAAAAAACTAAATGTATGTGGTTGAACTAGACAAGCTCTTCATTTAACACCTTCGTAAGCCACATTATCTCCTGGATGAAAACAAAGTGGTAAACATGAACACGGGCTACTTTTAACTGAGTAGACTACGAGTGAAAACAACCTTTGGTGCATCAAACATAGGAAGCACGTCAGCCTCAGAATCACACTTAACCACTTTAACAACAACTATAATGCAAAGTTAACCACAAAGGAAATGGCTCAACTGACTCACACCTCGTATCCATAACAACAGAGTGAAAACATGTGCAACAAGTGAATCATCCATGTACTATACTAGCACAGACGGTATATGGGGCACAATCACGACAAAGGTCCAGATATTTGAAGTATTTATTGATACTAATAAACTATATAACCTGACCGGGCTAGAAGATAACTGTGGTATTAATTGTTTCCCACAATGGGGTGTCTGCTGATTGCAGTGCAACATCTGTATTAAACCTGCATTATGTTTTATTAGTTAATAAGAACAAGAACTACTCTAAAGCAAAAACTTTAATATAGTCCAAGTATGGTGTTGACTCTATCGAGCACACACTTTTATCCGTGCACAAATGAGCATTTTCGTGACGTGTCACACCACACACAGATAATATATTCCTACCTGCTGTTGCTCCATCGCCTCTTTGTGTGATTTCTCCATTTGGTTCATCTTCACTCTCATATTTGATTCCTGGTACTGAAAATCGGCTTTGAGCTCCG